TTCTCCATAGATTATCCAATATAGCATCTTACTCCTTTTTTATCTCTCTCTCATAACATGCTCAATAAGAAGGATCAAGTATGAGGGATTTTGCGCAGAGCTGGTGATCAAGTGCATAGGCTAAGCTATCTAGTACATACCCGCCTTATGGAAAGAGCCTCCACCGCAAAAATCTCGGACAAACTTGAGAAACTACCTAGGTATGTTAGTTATGGAGTAAGTTGTAGTGTTCTGTACATAAAGCCTTATGTTCAAACCACACGAATCACATAGTAAAGAATGTTTAACCTCTTATATGGACAAAAAGTTCAAAAGTTGGTTAAAAGAGGGTCAGTTAAAGTAGCAGATGAGCCCTTCTCCACCTAAAAGCCTTGGTCCGCGCACTTCCGAACAGTTTCACCCCATTGGAACAGGTCAAAGTCATAAGCGCAAAGATGAGATCAAAACAACCGGTATGCTTTCCTGCCAACGCCATTTGGGTAAGGTCACGTGCTTGTGCTTTTGTGCCTTCGTCATGCAAACTAAACAAACAGTATTCATACGATTTGCGTCAAATAAAATGATGTCTTGTATCATTGACATATTTCAAGTCTGAAAGATTTTACACAAGTAGAGGTATAATATGCCATCTACTGATACATCTAAAAATTGGAGTACGCCTTAACTTTCATCAGCATTTCAACAAAAGAAGGAAGTCATCGCTTTTTATAGTTTCGTATATCGTATACTGTAGTCTGTAGGGCTAGCCACCTTCCAAGGTTGGAAGTATAGCTAGCTTACTAATCTAGCATCTGGCTTGTCAGCAACCCGTTGACGTTCAACCTTGGAAATGTTATCTAGTTGACTCGCTGTCATATCCATTCAAATTGAGTGTCTTCATTGACACTTTGCGGGTCTGACTTGATCTGCTTATCCGTGATCAGAATGAGCTACCACCTTGTGTTTTTAACATTTTTGTGCAGCCCCCGCTAGGTCAATTTCCGCCCGTCATGTCCGACTCGCGCCCAGGGCCAGTCTCACTAGCACGATATCGACCTATCCTCTACCTCTTTACTGGTGTCGCTGCTGCATATGCGATCCTCTATGTCCACAATAATGTCCTTTCGCAGTCGTCATCAACTTCGCTCCGGCGTCGAAATGCCGTGCGCCGCACGAGAGCAACCGAAGCTGAAGAACATGGAATCACCGACACTCCCTCATATCGAGCCATTACCCACCTTGAACAACTAGAGCGCCAGAATGGTGTATATGGGACATTTCGCATCGAGACGGAGGATGGGCGTCGCGTGGAGAGCGGTCTTCTTCCATCGCTCCTCGCAACACGCGACCAGCTAATGGAAGAAGTCGGTGTCCCGCCTGCTCATGCAGAGCGCATGCGCGAGATGATGGAGGATACGTTTCTTGAGTCCTTCCTTGCGCTCGATTTCCCATCTGCACACATTCTCCCTGAGAACACCCCAGAAAGAACATACTTGACAGAGCAACTTCAACGCCGAGGTATCTCCAGAGCTGGTATTGAAAGGGCTCTGATCCTGTTCAACGGAGATGTGAATTATGGAGAAGAGCTGCGTCGGCGACGACAGAATGGTGAACGTGTCACTCTCTCAACCTCTACCTTTCCAGACGTGTCTGCGCCTCCACAAAATCCCGACGGCGGTGAGACGGCAGTGGATGACCAAAGTGTCTTCTCATGGCGTGATGGAAACAACGATCCTTCCAATAGGGAAGGCCAGAACCTCCTCAACCTCCTTTACCACATCGCTGAGGATCAGGCGCGGAGGGACGGCTATATCCATCGTGGAGTTACTTGCAACAGCTGCGGTGCCATGCCAATTCAGGGTATCAGATACCGATGTGCCAATTGCATTGACTACGATCTGTGTGAGACGTGCGAGGCAATGCAGGTCCACATCAAGACACATTTGTTCTACAAAGTGCGGATTCCAGCCCCATTCTTAGGAAACCCTCGTCAATCGCAACCTGTATGGTATCCTGGGAAGCCTTCAATGCTCCCACGCAGCCTCCCGCGCCCTCTTGCCAAGCGTCTTATGAAAGAGTGCAATTTTGAAAACACGGAGCTCGATGCACTCTGGGATCAGTTCCGCTGTTTAGCCAATCATGAGTGGGTGAACGATCCGAACAAGTTGCATATGGCCATTGATCGCAAAACATTCGACCGATGCTTTGTGCCTAATACTTCTATCCGACCGCCGCCGCCCAGTCTCATTTACGACCGAATGTTCGCATTCTATGACACCAATGGCGATAATCTTATCGGTTTTGAAGAATTTTTGAAGGGGTTGGCTAGTCTCAACAATAAAAGCAATGACGAACGGCTGCGACGCGTGTTCCGTGGCTACGACATCGATGGGGATGGCTTCGTCGAACGCAAGGACTTCCTTCGAGTTTTCAGGGCATATTATGCGCTGAGCCGGGAGCTTACAAGAGACATGGTTGCTGGCATGGAGGATGACTTCTTGGAGGGCGGAGCTCGTGATGTGATTCTCGGTAGCCAGCCTATCAGCTCTGCATTCCCTGGAAATATCCCTGCAGGTGAACCTTCTCGTACAGGCGAAGGCAAGCGCATGAATTCTGAGGGGGACATGGAAATCATCGATAATGAAGGAATCTTGCGACAGGATGGAGATGATACCGGTGATCGACATTTGGTCGTGGGTGATGCTGCTGTCAGGGCACAGTTTAGTCGAATGAGGCCATTGTTCCCATCTACACTACGCCTGGCATCCACCGAGACCCCTCCTACTCTCCGTCCATCAGATCTCATGGAGGGTTACCAGAATGAGGCCAACGAAGAAAATGAAGATGCCGCTAGTGACAGTGGATCAGACCAAACTAGTTCGTCGGTGGCCAGTGGCACATGGCCCCCGGCTGAACACATCCTCGAAGAAGATATCATCGAGGCTCTTGGTACCTATATTCCCGCTCGGGACATCACGGATCCAATTGATCGGGCTCGCGTCGCGGATGCCGTTTATCACAGAATGCGAGAAGATGATCAGAGACGTGTGTTTGACGCTCGTCAGCGTGGAATCGACGAACGTTGGAGACGCCGGGCTTTCTATACAGATGAAGAAGACGGCGCTACTATTCCTGAGGGGTATGAAAGGGATCCCGCCATCGATGACTCCAGCGATGAAGGCCATGAGGAATCCGAATCACGCCCACCCTCTTTCCGTTCGCGATCCTCATCCAAGGTGCGATTCCAGGATGATCTCAATGATGACGAGTATGAAGTTCGATCTAACCCATCAACTTCGTCACGGAGTATTCCTGTTGGCGAACGATGGGGTGGCTTTGAAATCCCAGAGGTCGAAAGGGACGTTGGGAAAGAAATCTTATACCAAGTCACACAACAGGGATTCAACGAGCTCTTAGATATTCTGTTCAAACCAAAGGAGGACCTCCTGATGGAGGTCTATCGCACGCGAGCTGAACGAAAGATCTGGGCCCGGGAGATTGAACTCGCTGGAAAGGAGGACCCTTCAAAACGTACCCCACCTGAGAATCCTCAAACTGAGAATCCTCCACCTGAGGAAGTACTTGAGGAAATTATCAACGAGCGGCCACTTGATGAGCTATTACAGCGCGCTGGCTACGGGATTCAGAGCCCAGTCCTTGCACCTGCCAACACCGAACCAGGGCGCGCTCCTTTGTCGCCTGAGCCTACCGCCTCAGGTGATGGTAACGAAGATGAATATGAAGATGAAGATGACGATGAGGACGACGTGCGGCCAACTCATCTCGCTGACCCCGGATATGATGCTGGAATTGGGCAGGCCCACCCCTTTGAGGAATCTGACACGGCGTCCGCCACCTCGTCTGATTATGACGACAATATCACAGCCTCCCAGGCGTCTAATGCGGGACCGTCTGGCCCAATTGTTGAAGACGATACACCTCACTACGATCCAACACTCCCACAACATCGTCCTAATGCAGACATAGGCTCAGGAATGATCGATGAAGCAGACTTCGACCCCACAAGCACAAACTCCCGTCTCCCTGCTCAGCTCCGGCTCCAGCCCGGAATCACTTCTCTTCCCGCGCCATCTTCTCCCCACTCCTCCCCAGAAGCCGAAGCCACGGCCCCTAAGCTTCCTCCTTCTCCTATGCAACCACTCCCACCCCCTCATCGGGTCAATGACCAACCCCGTGAAGCCCCTGCCCCACGCCGACCTTCGCCCCGGACTCTAGCCCGGTGGGTCTATTTAGACCAAGTTGAACGCGAAAACAAGGAACGTGGCAACGGCGCGAGACTTAATTTTGAAGAGTTTTCGCGCCGTATGGCTGCTGATCGGGGACGCCGACTGGCATTTGTGGCCAGTTGGATTGAGATGGCTAGCTTTTAATTCTGAGAAGGTTCCTAGATTAACCTAGGTGTACATTATTATTGTAATTTAGCGGGACTAGGTTGATCTAAATTCATTAGTACAATGACAATTTGGTCAACTACAAAAATTCAGACTAGTAAGACTCCATAGTGACACATTTATATTAACCCACATTGTGTATATAACAGCCACTAACTAGCCCTATGATGGATCTTGAAGAACCGTTTCCCTAATATACTAATCTAACAAAAAAAATGCCTCGTAAACCAAGTCTTTGTCCCCCGGGACCGTGCCCAGCCTGGAGGCGTGGATGTCCCCTCATATTACGTGCTTTTAGGGACCGATGGCTCACTTTGCACCATTGTTATCACCTGAATGTTGAAGATTACCTTCCAGGATTCCCCTTATCGATTTGACTATAACTCAAACTTCTTCTACCGTCTCCAGTATACAAGCTAGTGCCAGTTATGCCTCAGCTGCCATCGGCCGAGAGATAAAATCAAGATATCGCGATTATGACGGACCCTGACGTGCTGTGCCCTCTTGCTTCTGAAAAAAACAATAAGTAAATCCAGACCCATTACTATGCAGTACTAATAGTGGCTCTTTCCGCTACTATAGTCCGCATAGGAACCTCCCACATCCATCATGGCTTTCGATCGTCTGGCCCGGTTCTACCGGTCATGTCTACTCCAGATTATCATCGTAGGACTAGTCGCCTTCTGCGAACCCGGCATCTGGACTGCTCTCAATAATCTTGGGGCTGGAGGCAATGCCAAGGTAAGTCACCCAAACGTTAGGAATTTGCGCAGCTATCACTGACGCATTGTGCAGCCTTACCTGAACAATGCCGCCAATGCCTTAACATATGGACTCATGTCAGTAGGCTGCTTCCTTGCCGGCGGCGTCACCAACAAGATCACTGCGAAATGGACCTTGTTCATTGGAGCCGCATTCTACACTCCTTATGCGGCCGGTCTATATTGCAATAATCGCTATGGCAATGAGTGGTTTCTCTTGCTTGGCGCTGCCCTTTGTGGAATTGGAGCATCCCTTCTATGGGCTAGTGAGGCTGCCATTGCAGTTGGATATCCGGAGGAGGAGAAAAGAGGACGGTAAGTCAAAACCCCCAGTCCCTCTACTTGATATCATTTGACTGACAACTATGTAGCTACGTTGCAATCTGGATGAGTATCAGACAGATGGGACCGCTTGTTGGCGGTTCGATATCTCTCGCTCTCAATGTCAATACCGCGCATGTTGGAAAAGTCACCTACACAACATATTTAGGGCTTGTTGCCATCTCCTCCCTCGGGGCCCCATTTGCGTTGCTCTTGTCACAGCCACAGGATGTTATCAGAAGTAATGGGACCAAGATCCCTTACATGAAGAAGACGAGCCTTGCTGTTGAAGCTCGCGCTATCTGGAAACAACTTTCGAATAAGTACATGTTGCTACTTATCCCGGTCTTCCTCGCAGGACAATTTGGTGTAACTTACCAGGGGAATTATTTGACGAGTATGACATCTCAAGTCTCTTTTGCCGGTTTTAATAGCATCGCTGACGGAAAACTTAGCCTATTTCACCGTCCGCTCCAGAGCCCTCGCATCATTCCTAACCGCCGTGGTTGGCGCCACCGCCAACGTAGTGACAGGCATATTTCTAGATCTGAAATTTATATCTCGAGGAACCAGATCTAAAGCCGTGTATATATTCGTTCTTGTATTCATCACAGCGGCTTGGACATGGAACGCTATCACCGAGACGAAACTCTCCCGCATGGCCGAACCACCCGCCTTTGACTTGGGCGATGGTCCATTCTTCAACTCGGCTTTCACTGTCTATATATTCTTCCGCTTCTTCTATGAGGTGCTGCAGACGTACATCTATTGGCTGATGGCTGAAATCAAGGGAGCGCAGGGGGAGGGCGATATCGCAAGAACAACCGGCATCCTGAGATCGTGGGAATCCATTGGCAGTACGATTGCCTATGCGGTTGGTGCAACTCACTGGGCAAACTTAAATCAGATGATCCTGGGCTTTGCATTATGGGGCTTTACCGTCCCGTTCACGCTACTTGCGGTGTTTGGCAATTGGAATGTTGAGGGCACCGTTGAGGGGGAGGAAACGGACAGCAGTAGCTTGGAGGCTCAGAGGGTGGTTATCAATTCTGATGGGAAGGACTAGGTAGGATATATTTTGTCGCTATGCGAAGGTGTTATTGGTGGAGAGTTGGCAAATAAATAATCCAGTCCAAATGATAGAATATACCTAAAGTTTTTGTTGATGGTGGTGCCCTAAATATATAAACGGAATTGATGACAATGTTAGATTATTATAAAAAAAAACACTACAAAACTCTTCAGATGGATTCATTTATTACTAATAATACATTGAACTATCCAAGCAATACCGTCTTGTTATGAGTTCTCGTGAAATGGCCAATTTAATATCTACATATAGTACTACATGCTAAGGACTCGCCAATAAAGCCAAAAATGGCTCTTCCCCCATCAATTGGCCCAAGTGGTCGAAGAGTTTCCTGGTCTAGCGGTTATGATTTTCCGTTAACAAATGCGATTAGCAGATGTTCCGGAAAGGTTCTGGGTTCGATTCCCAGGGAAACTATTTTTTTGTCCTTTCCCCATATTTATTCTGTTTTTGGCCTTTTAAGCAGTTCCTAGTCAGTCTGAAACTGACCAGTAGAGAGTCATAGGACTATGCTGGTGGAAATGAGGAACAATGAAGCCCAAACCTGGTATGTATGGAATATTAGCAAAGTAAAAAAACACAAGTAGACAGACCACCCAAGCGAGTCAAATTAGAGACATAACATAAATCACAGACATAATCTCGTGTTGCATACAAATCAAAGCATGACATGGTCATGTAGCACAAGTAAAAACATAGCATAAACATATCATAAACATATCAAGACAAACCAACCCGAACGCCAGAATGAAAATAGAAATCAAACCGAGAAAGCCAACAAAACCACCGCCATATTAACCCATTCCTTTCGCGGGTAACAAAGATTTGAGGAAGATGGACCAGAGTCGGATTATGTCTCTGCTAACCCAAGGGGTCTGGGTCCAATCCTCCCTTCATCTGGGCTGGGTAGCTGCATGGGCTTTTGTCCTGGAGATCACCAAGGTTCCAGGGTACCTTTCCTCCAACGGTTCAAACTTGACAATGGGGTATTCCAAAGAGAATTGTAAAAAAGAGAAAAAGCAAGTGGAAAAAAGAACCATCCAAGGGATTTGGGGGTTCAGCAGGAATATATAAACAGAACAGTGGCATCCGATCAGGGAATCCAAAGACGGTCATTCTCCAGTGGATTCAGGGATTTGCGAATCTTACACGACGGCCACGTCGCTCCAGAATCAATTTCTCGGTGTCAACATAAAGACAGTCGAGAAACTGCATAGCGCTAGAATCCCTAAGGATCTTCGCAACCTGAGTACCCGCAGAAATGAGCTGCAACACATTGCGGTCATCCTTGACTGGCCTTGACTGGTGCTTGGCAGCATGGCGCATCTCCAGGGAGTTCTCTAGGACAGTGATGAGCTGCTTAATTTGGCGGTTGTACAAGAGATGCGCTGGGATGCGACGGGTAGTAGCCAGCCGCTTCAAGAGGTGCACCCATTCAGTCCACTCCCGGTCCGAGGGGACCTTAACGGGTCTCTTGTCCTGCTCGATAGGAACGCGGAACTGGTACTTTGCGATGAAGTCATAGGCACACTGGGACAGACGGTCGTTGACCTTGTGGAGGATACTGTCTTGCTCGCCGGCATCGAGGTTAGTAGGGAGCTGGGGAAGCTCTTTATCCTGGGCTGCGACAGCCTGTGGAGAAGGTGGCTCTAGGAATTGATGTGGGCCATCAAATTCATCCCGGTTGGATGTCCGTCTCTGGGAATGATAGTGTGGGCTTCCTCTGGATCTCTCGGAAGATCGTTGGCTGTTTCTTTCCGTGACATACTCCGGGCTTTCCGGGATGCTCATTGTTCCAAGGTCCCGTCTCAGGGAGTCTCGAGGCAGGTGGCTCTGCTGGTTCCATTCATATGTCCCGGGTGGTGGGTGGGCCTGTCCAGCTGGAGGGTAGGATAAACGTCCCGAGGGCGATGTGGGTGGGCCCATCATGTGGCTGTGATTATCCAGAGGGGCTGGAGCTCCGTGGTAATGGGTCTGGTTAGAATCCATTGGACCAAAGGGCGCTTGACGATCGTCTCTGTAGCCATATCCGTGGGAAGTAGATGGTGACCTTTTACCGTTTAGTAAAAGGAATGAAAGCGATGCTTGGCGATGATAGCTTGGGAGGAATTTGAAATGAAGTGAACAATGACCAAACAATACCTTTGATAGACCACTGGAGATATTGCTGGGGTTCCATACATAGGGTGCTGAGCCATGGTGCTACTACGGAGCATGAGTTTCGGATTCCAAGAGTTTTGACTCTGAAACACGGGAGGGAATGGCGATGCTGATTCTGCTGACCTATGGCGAGACCGAGTATCAACTTTAGAGTTGATAGAGCTTGCACAGGAACTGAGATTTGTTGGCAAAGAGAACGGATAGACTGATCCAGCCGCGAGTGGGTGAGGAAGGATAGGAAGCATGAAGAAAGTAAGCCGGGAGTGGTACCACAGCCTTATATAACTATCGAGAACAAGATTTAGAAGAGCAGGGGAAGAATATATATATTAAGTGCGTTGTTGAGCGAATGAATTCATGAACACCGAATAAAGGGCAGGATAGTTATTAGTTATAGTTCTTTAGCAAAGTACCCGGGTCGGACGAATCGAAGTGTGCCTGACCAAAGGGATCGGAGCCCTAGGGTTCTGCAACGGCAAATTAACTGGTTTGAGAGCCGCGCTAGAGGACTTTACGCCAGTGGCGTTGGTGGAGACGAAATCTATGGAGACGAGGCCTGTGTTGCCTGGGCGTTGTTGATTTCAAGAAACCCAATTGCGTAACAGAACATGGAATGTCCCTGCCGTTTACGTTGAAGATCTCGATCGATCGAGAATAGGACCGGTGTGCAAAGTTCGTTGGCAGTCGAGGCGCCGTGAGACGCCTTTGGCAGTGCATACCGTGATTTCGATGGCATGGCAAACATTGCATCCGAAATCTCGATCTTCACAAGTTAGGGGATAAGCACCAGCACACTGGATGCTGCACCACCTTCATTCTGGTTCGATACTTGTATTGGGGGTAGAGCCTCGGGCAGCAAAGCTGGTGTTGGGTAGGAAATGCAAGGACCGGGGTTCTGGCCTTAGACTTCATTGACCTATGGATACCCTAATGTGCAGAGAGAAGATGTGATCTGCGCCCTCGAAGGTCCTAGAAGAAATGCAAAGATGAGCTGAGGGAGGTATAACATGCAACTTCTGTGACGCGCGTAGTTAATCCGTGTTGGGCAGTTGGGCTTTTTCTAAGGTTGGGGCCCAATGCAATAAGCCGCATGGACCATGTCTCTCCTCTTCTGGGGATCTGGTTAAAGCAAAAGAGGAATTTCAATATCATACTTTTTCAAATGTGGGGAGCTCAAATGTTCTGATGGCATACGATCTACCCTTGCAGCCCAACAAGAAGCCCAATGTCTCTGCTTCTAGGGCCGAGGTTGCCTAGAAGGATTGTTATCAATCATACTCCGAACGGTTATAGAAGATATAATAAATTAATTCAAAGAAAGGAGCGCCTTGAAAGAAAATCATAACCATTGGAGTATTTCCAGGACATCATTAACCCTAGTCATTTGGGCAGGGAGCGGGAAATCTATGTGATTCTCCATCAGCGTGGCATATTATTCTTTTTGCTTCCACTTTTGAGAATGGGCAATTTTATCCCGAGACGAGAGGCATAATCCTGGATTGCTTTGGTGAGTAATACAAGAAGTTGCACTTCTAAGGTTGTGATATCTGCTTACCTCGCAACTCAAACGGATGGCTTCTTCGATACCAATGCGAGCCTCGTACCCTAGAATATTCTTAGCCTTTTCTCCACTCGCATAACGGATAGCACATGCATCTTGTACGCTTCCACGGCTCAAAGTTGTCGTTGTTCCCATCAACCAGGTAACAGTCTCACACACCAACCCGGCGAAGTAAGCCAGACTCTTTGGGATATGCATCTCAAAAGGCGGGACGTGGCCAAAATGCGCCCAGATTGCCAGACAAAAAATCACGAAAGGTAATAGGCTCGTTGGTCTGAATAAAAAAGGCCTCACCCGCAGCGGTGCGGGATGACAACAGATTTTCAATGGCCAGGACGTGAGCATCGGCGGCATTGTCGACGTGGGTGATATCCCACAAGTTGAAGCAATTTTCGATCAAAAATGGAGTTTCATATTTGGCGATGCATGCGTGAATAGCTGGTACTAGCTGGTGGTCTCCTGGTCCGCAGAGCACCGATGGTCGGAGGGCACATGTCACCATTTTGCTGCTTGAGGCATTTAGAACGAGTGCTTCTGCAGCAGCCTAGGCATCATACCGAAGTAAGTTAGTAACTTGTTTGCCATCAATGTTGAGAATCATGCTGATGGGGATCTGTAGTTCTAACCTTGGACTCTCCATAAATAGTTGACCTAAATCCTGAGGGCCATTCCTCATTGATGTTAGGATGAGCGGTGCGCGTATCGTCGATCACCACGCAGCAACTGCTCGTGTATATGAAGGCTTCAATCCCATTATGCTTGGATACATCCAGCATATTTCGCGTGCCTTCAAAGTTGATCTTCCATACTTCCTGTTCACGTCAGCGACCGAACCGGTCGGCCAGATCTGGAACGACCCCGGCGGCGTGGACAACGACATCTGGCTTCACAGCCTCGAATAATTCGCTCAATGCTTGAGTTGAAGTAATATCCACCTGCATGCATGTAGTCCTCTCTGGTAGTATATGCTCGGGTCGTGGGGGACTTTGGTCGATGATGACGATAACAAAGTCTGGGTGTTTTTCTGCAAGAGCCCGCACTATGGCCGAGCCTACAAAGCCTGTGCCACCAGATACAAGGACTTTCCTCGCTGTGTCTGCCATTGTAGAGGCCGAGTGTGAGAATATGGGAGACCTTGACGTGGGGGAAACTCTGGATAGACACCCGTGGATAACTGTGCAACCATGTAACTACGACAGGGAAGGTACCTCAACACCTTGAAAGAAGCACCTTAAATGATATTGGAAATGATGCCAGAAAGAGGCCACTCAAATGGTCAGTCCTTTTTTTTCATTCAGATTTCAAGTCGGGTTTCATTCTTGATGCATGAACCACCGCCCAATTGAATCTCAGACGACTCTCATGGTTGGGCTCTGGTGTTTATCGTGCTTGATGTGGTCAATGAATACGATCATTGGACCACTCGTCCCATTCCTCGTCCTCTTCCTCTTTATCTTCTTCATCCTCATCCTCACAGCGAGCAGGATCCAATAGATTCAACACTTCTCCTAGCTCAGGATGAATGCAGTGATCAACGGACAGTTCCTCCAATTCCAGCAATTTTGGCCACAACGCTTCTGGGCTCGACTCATTCTCTCTGATCGCGCGGACTTCATCCTCCGTCATAGATTCGATTATTTCCCGCATCGCAGTCACAAGAGCAGTATCATATTGGAACCGCTCTTGCACCTCATGGCCCACTACATCGTTGGAAGATAGTGCAATCGTCTTCCCGATTTTGCGTAGGGTAGAGAGGCCATTGAAGCGTGTCCGAGGGTTCGTGAATGGGCCACACTGTTCCGCGATTAATTGAATGGTTTCAACGACCTCCTCAGCCACTTCGAAGGAGACATCGTACTGCGCTCCACCGCGCATGGAACGATATGTGACATTGATAGATCTCCAGATGTCACCCGAATAGTTATCAAAGTTGATGACGCGATTTCGTTCTCTCCCGACTGACGCGAATAGCATCGTCCACCATGGTCAGGACGTCGGGATGGATTTGCGCTGCTTGCGTGAGAATGTCGGTGACAGTCTGTATATCGAGCTGTTCAATGCGCTGGAAAATATCTTCTGCTGGCGCCAGCGCTGTCGTATTGACATGGGCATCGCCAATGGTATTAGATCGCGCGCGTTTGGCGCTTTGAGGATCAGCCATGGTTGGTAGTATGTCTGTTGATCACTGAGACAGGGGACAAATCATGGGAGGACAAGATGATCTTGTGGAATGAATGAGATGTAAGAAGGAAGTTGAGGAGCGCAAGGGATCCAAAAGATAAGAGGGGTCAAGCAGAAAGAGGGTCTACGGGTGGATCATGGGGGATATCAGATGGACATATGTTTTTGTATATTCCTTACCTATATAGCAACATAGATCGGATTATTGACGCCGTCAAAGACATGCGTTCCATAAGCGGCCGATTATTTCAACTTGCCCATTATGATCTAGCCATGGCCATTTGCAATCCTATTCACCTCCAATATAGCCATATCATCTGAGAGACTGAAATGAGGTATGAATATAACTATGAAATCGATCTATCAGTCTAGGCAAGGTTACAACTACATTGTAAGCACATCTATGGGGAGTACGGACATATTTCAAGTCGTAACCTATACACTGTGTCACATTGAGGACAGCTGCAAAATCACTAGCAGAGCACACGGAATGCGAGATACGCAGACATCTAATATACAGATCCTTGACCCAGGTATTATCCCAACAGTCACAAAAAGACTAATCTCGAAAAGAGAAAGCGCTGCGACTAACCAACAAACTCCAAAGTAAATGCAAGAAGAGAACGAATTCTCCCCGGTGGGTAGCTCTCCCAAATCAGGGATAAGCCGCTAGGACAATCGCAGACTTAAAGCACACGGCACAAAACCAGCCCACCAAGCTTTTTCTCAACACACTCGCGAGCTTCTAGAATCCCCCGGTCTGTAGAGAGGTACAGACTCTCACCCGGCGAGCGAATTCCGGCCACAAATCCGGATGCCTCACCACGCACAACTCGGCGCAGTCCCTCCACATCGATATTAACCCGTCGAGTGGGCTTACTAACCATCTGGATCTTGCCAAGGACTGACTCGTTCTGCCAGTACTTCAGGCCGAGCCACAGCCGCCTTGATGCGACGTTATCACGTGTGATTGGCTCAATGCCTTCAACTTCGTCGTTGGCTGCAGGGTACCCGAGGATGCTATGGGCTGGAGGAGGAGTCGGGCCTCCGCGGACCACGGAGGAGAGGTAGCCGGAGTTTTGGAGGGCGAGGGAGAGCTTCAGGTGGAGGTTGCTGTTAGGAATAGAGGTGAGGGCGAGGCGGGCCTTGGTGGCATTGTTCAAGTGGGAGCAGACGGCAGAAAGGTTGACGAGAGACATCTTGATTTCGCGACGGCAGCAATTAAGCTCTACCGGCGGCCGTTCGGAGAAGAAAAAGAATGGTGGGGATTGGTCAATTTTGGGAGAGGAGGAATGAACGGGGATCCCAAATACGCAAAAGGGATGACCGAGAGGGACCACAATGGACTGCAATTGTCTGGGGAAGCAAGACACGGCAGGTGTTGTAGCGCCGACTGAAGATGCGATGAGGATGGAAATTTTCGGATAAACTAAACTTCCGGGTCGCGGTCTGGTCCAGGTACCCGGTACTTTCTCGCCCATAACGGATAAGTGTGATGACCAGGTACTAGTACTATCCTATCACATCACATCCACATGCATCTTCTAAGCGCCCAGCTTGCATGGCGGTTGATGATGGCGTTTCACAGGTTGAATACCCCTCAGTCCAGGGTATAAATAATAAATGTAAGTTCCTCTTTTTCTTTTTCCCTTTTCTTGCTGCCATCGTTGTATACTTGTATTCCGTACTTTGAATTATCCGGCAATAATGCCACCATCAGCGGGCGAAGAGCGCCTTGTGACTGTGTGAGTTGAGCTGACTCCCCCGCAGGCCGATATGAAGTAGTTCTTGGATTGTCTCTAACAGCCAGAATAGTTTCGCAGATATCCACTACTACTTCACAGAGCCAACCCGAAGACCTTTACCATATCACCACCGCTTTGATAAAGGATCCTATGTTTATATTTACCATGACGCCTTTCAGAACAAGGCCCGGATGGAAATTGCCAATAATCCCGGATCTCCAGAGCAGGATGCATTCTGTGGAGGCTTAAACAATGTTCACATACGTCACTCCACTCAATTCCCGACCCTATGTACATTAACAGTTGATGCACACACGGCCTCGCCCCAACAGCAATATGTACATGATACCCCTCAACATGAGTGGCGTCTACCTAGCGGAGACCCACGAGATAACCCCAAGGAAGTGCGCGATTTTGCCCGCCTGCATACATTGGATATCTACTTCTGGACCCAAGATGATGCAACCGAATTTCTGGATACAGTCGTCCGGCTTTTATCCAATTCCCAGGTCGAGACAGACCGAGAGCCAGCTCCACAGACACAGGCACAGCCACAGGACAACATGAGCTCTGTAGTTCAGCAACTCGAGACTGTTGCAGTCTCCGACCCGGCCTACCAGAATGGTCAAACACGCAACTCACGGTCAGAGCCCACAAGCACAGTGGCAGCACCAGGGGCGGCACCAGTGCAGCAGGCCCCACCGCCAACCACCAGCTTCCCTCCGCCCCCTCCAAGCGGGCCTCCAGTTGACCAACGATTAAGCGCTGGTTCTACCCCCGCCGAGGAAAAGAAAGACCCAGCTAGCTTCGCCCCGCTCCCATACAATCCAGCTGCCCCAGCTGCCCCAGAGCCAATCCAATACCGCGAGAAGACCCCACCGCCAGAGGACGGGATGAACGGTACCGGCCTAGCAGCTGCAGTGGCTGCCGACAGCGGTATTCCGTATACGCTCCCGAACCAAATGATGGGTGGCCCACCAGGCGTGGGCGCGTTTGCATCCCCACCGCCCTCAACCCCGGGATTGCAATACGCAGGCCCTCCAGTCGCAGCGCCACCAGCATTCGCATCTCCTCCGCCCAGCATGGGAATACAACATTCAAATACTTTCCCCACTGCGCGATCCTCGGTCCACAGTCCCGGACTGCCTGTCCCTTCATACCCGCAGTCGTTCGTTGGCGGGCAGGGTACTCAACAGTATAGCGCAAGCAGGCAAGGTTCAATGTCCTTCGCTCCGCCGCCACAGGATCCGAATGCCCATCTATATGACCAACAGGTCTATGGGGCTCCCCAGGCCCAGTCGACGCCCCAGTATCAGCCTGGGGTCGCAGCGCCGATAGGCGGGTTCTCGAATTACTCGTATGACCAGACTCAGCAGCAGCAGCAGCAGCAGCAGCAGCAGCAGCAGCAGCAGCAGCAGCAGCAACCCCAACAACACCAGCGTGCTGGCTCTGAATATGATATTCATAGCCAATTGTATAGACCCACTGAAGTAGAGGCTAACTCTCACTATCAGAAATATGCACAGAAGGCTATGAAGAATCCTGGACAGCGGCCTAGGAAATTGGAGGAGAGAGCAGAGCGGTTGGAAGGTGGCGTGAATAGGTTCCTGAAGAAGCTCGAGAGAAAACTTTGAGGCTTTTTTTGGGTGAAGTTTGAGATTTTGCATCACTCTTGTTAGATCTCTGGTGGTCATGGTAATCTGAGAGCTTGCTGTTAGGCCGGCTGCTGAGTAGTACTATGGCCATGGGAATCAGAATAAGAACCTTGGAATATGTTTAGCGTTTCAATTTGATGATAAAATGAAGTGCTTACTAGATACGAACCCAGAAGGTGGTATATATGCTTTGAGCCCCGCTATATTGATAAATCAAGATGCTAAATTGGATAATGCCCCTAAGCGCTAAGAATAATATGCTCACGAAATTGGTACAGAGTATGCAAGAGATAAACAATGAATAATAACCCAAAACACTGACAAACTTGAAAATGCTAGCATAGAGTAAGAGAGACGGAAGAATAGATGTTGAAAAGGTCGGGGGCAAGCCTCGATGAACGAAAAGAGGCTCACGTTTGGTGAGATAGAAGAAAATAGTGAAGAGTATGATCAGAGAAGATTAAAAGGTTATTCCAAAATTTACCAGAAGCGGAGATGGGCCAGCGAAATCCATTCCAGATAAACACGGTGTAGTTCTGATATAGAGCGGCTAGTGCAATGACAGAGTGGCAATATCGATGGCGACGTTGTTTGACTCAATCTCAGTTGCGGGCTGCGCATCAGGGGCAGGCTCAGTGGACTTAGCCTCTGTGGGATTCTCTTCTGCGGCCTCTGCCAAAGTCTCAGTGACAATAGCCTCCTTCACTGGCTCTTCATCTTCCTTTTCAGCCTCAACCTGGACGGTTGTTGATTCCGGAGTCTCGAGCACCTCTGGCTCGGGAATCGAGGGCTCTTGCTTCTCATCGACCTTAACCTCATCGCCAGCCGTTGGGATGGTCACGGGCTCTGTGGCTGTCTCTTCGGTGGGGGTGGGGGTCTCAGCAGCCTGCTCCTCCTCAGCATCCTCAGTGATGGGCTCAATGAGGGCCTCAACAGGAGCATTCGCCTCAGCCTCAGCTGAAGTCTTGGCTTCGTTGGAATCAATGGGCTCAGCCTGCACCTCCGTAGCATCTTCAATTGGGACGTGATCAGAGGAGATCTCAGCCACTGTCTCCTCGACGATCGGCTCAGGCACTTCAATTGACTTCTCGATTGGTTCAGTAGATGCGATGGCAACCTCCGGGGCAACCTCCGGGGCAACTTCCGGGGCAACTTCCTCAACCTGAGCAGTGGAAGCGGTCTCCTCGGCTGGCTTTGAAGCAGCCTCGGGCTGTTCCACAGCCGCAACTAGAGCGGGTTCCACTGTTGCAGGCTCCTTCAGGCTGGTTGTGATAGGCTCCACGATGTTCTCCTTCTCACTTTCCTGCTTCTTTTGGGAAGGCTTAGGTCCATCTTTCTTTGGCGCAGGCTCCTTGTTCAAAGCCTGGGATTTCTGACTTTGAGGTCGAAGAGCAGTGCTCTTGGGCTTCACATGGGGGACGCCACGGTCTGGCACTCTCCCAATTGATGGCCTGGGGGCTTTGGGGACCGAGGTTGTCTTGGTGGCAGGCTTGGTATCAGCCTTTTCCTGGAGTTGGGACTTGTTCGCGGAGCTAGCAGTAGGCCGCATCATTCTCGCAAGGAAACCCTCGTTGACAGGCTTGGTGGTTGTCTCATGAGCTGCTTGAGCGGGCAATGAAGGCCGAGAGGCTTGTCTGCGAACGCTGGTACTTGGAGTAGCGGCACGCGACTGACTTCCAGTCGCGCTTTTGAGAGTTGAAGGTTTTCTTGTGAGGGTTGGTGCACTGGTAGTAGTGCGAGTGCTCGGAGCTCCTGTGCTTCCCGACTTAGCAGCAGATGCGTGTGTCGAGCCAGTTACACGGGTAGGTCTCGGTGGGGACTTCATTCCTGGCTTGCTGGACACACCTGCGGTAGGTGGCTTTGAAGTATCTTGGGTTGGTGCCGAGCCACGGGTTGGTCGTGCTGTTGTCTTGGGATTCAGTGAGACACGACTCGGTTTGTGGGCTAGAGAGCTGGCACGCTCTTTAGCTACTTCGCGAGCTGTAGGCTTGGTGCTTGTCTTGTGAGCCGCAGGCTTCGCACCAGTCGAAGCTGCACTACTTGGCACAGACTTGCTCGTTGCACTGCGAGCAGACCCAACGGAAGAAGGCTTCTTCTTAATCGGTCCCGACGAATTTGACTTTTGCGAGGTGTCGGAGCTTGTCGACTTGGCATCCGTAGAGATAGGCTCCTCTGTCTGCTTTGGTGGGGTATTTCGCGACTGAAATCCAGTCTCAGTGGGCGCTGCTGGTTCCTCCTTGGCAGTTTGATTTCGTTCACTCTTGGTTTCAATAGCTTCCTCCGGTCGACCCTCGGCCATTATCTGTGCCATAGTCGCGTTCTGTGTGTGGTCTAGGCGACTGAGCGGGGTGGGGGAAATCATAGTTTGTCGACCAGAGTCCGCATCTCCCGAATTGATTTTCGGTCCAAACATTCCAGGACTATCGCCGCGCCCACTTGTTTTCCTCAACGGCGAAGCGGGGTTCGACTGTACGACCCCGTCCACAGTGATAAAGCTAGCCCGGACCTTGGACAGTTGGCGAACTGTCCCTGACGAGTCTGACGCAGCTGGGGATCGGCCACGAGGCGGCGGAGAGGCGATAGGGCTTTGGCCTTCAAACTTGGCCAACAAGCTGCGTACCCCAGGATGATGGGGATTGTTATCGGACATTATCACGGAGGGTACGTCAGTCGAACAAGGGCGGGTATGAAATCGAGGGGAATCGGGAAACGCGTCAGAGCAAAGGGGTGCTCCTGAAATCAGGTCGAAACGGGATTGTAGTGTCTAATCGGATACAGGCAGGTCCCACTGCATGTTCCCAGGAGAGTTTTCAACGCGTCAAAGTTGAAATAAAGAATTGGTATGAGACAAGAGGACACAAGGTGTGAAGAAGAGCCGATCCAGAAACTATTACATACATACACGCTAGTTAAGGCTAGCGTATCCAATAGGCCAACGCCTTACGTTGTACACCGTACAGGACTCCCCATCTCAGGGGCTTTCATTTCTATGTGACAGGTGATTCCACCCTTGAGGGGTTTAATTAATCTTACTGTACGGCGTACTGAAACCCCTTGTGAGGTCTGAAACATCGTATCTGGACACCTTTACAAGTGGATCTTGAGTAAGGGGCCTTGTATGCCTGAGGCATCGTATCAGCAATCTCTCTGAACTTGAATTTCCCCCCAATTTGGGCTCTATTTGTGAAAATATGATAGTCTTACCACCTATATGTGCCTAAGTATGGAGTACATTCTGTATATAACTGATAGCTAAGGCATGCATCGAAGTGTGGGGTATACTGGCTCTAGAGGAAATTATGTGTGATAATAATAGCTTAGCCAAGAAATACAAATTTCATAATTAACATTGGAAAATATGTGGCTTTTCCATAGTGTACTCCATACATACATATTACATTGTTAGTTCAAGGCAAAAGGCCAATTACCTTCATACCCGTCGACTTTATACGAAGTCCATGCAACTTATACCCTTCAGCCAATGAGGATAGCTCGGGACATATCCGAAACACGTGATGGTACCGGTTCGTATAGCTTCTTCAACCCACTCAGGTTTTTGTTAATTCAAGCTATTGATTCATAATGGTTGGTGTGCCTCGGAGTACCGGCTGCTCACTCTGTGTCAAACGCAGAGTCAAGGTGAGTGGGTTATCTATATCAGTCTGGTCAAGAAGTCCACTCCATATTGATAGCACCACAGTGCGATCAAGGACTTCCTGGTTGTGCTAAATGCGCTAAGTATGGGCAACCTTGCCCTGGATATGAACGGGGCTTCAAGTTTGTTACTGGAAAGCCATATCGGGATCGACGTCAACCCAATCCAAGGAATGAGAGTGCAACCTCGAATTCTGAAATTGATACTGAGTCCATCTGCCAGACTCTGGCCCAGAGAGAGAAGCCATATTCTCTTATTTCCGTGGATTTGAATGTTGTGCGACACCTTTGTGTGCTCATTGACGATTTCTCTCAGCCATACACCCCCAGCCCAACACATGTTGTGGTCAAATGGTTTGGGTTTCTTCCCTCCATTTATGGCCAAAATCGGGTATTGGATGCCACTATAAGGTCTTTCACAGCACATCATTTTGGGCGCACTACCCGAAATACCCAAATGTTATCATATGCCCGATCAGCCTATGGGGAAGCCTTGCGTGGGCTCCGGAAATCGCTAGAAACTCCCGTGGAAGGTCTATCGTCTCATATATTTTGTGCAGTAGTACTGCTATGCATGTACGAGGTAGATATTTTTCACACCGAAGTGATCCAATTTTCATGACTGATCATATACAGCTCTTCACAGATACCGAGAACCCAGAGTCGTGGATGAAGCATGCTAAAGGGCTCAGCCAACTAGTACGGATTCGAGGGCCGGATAGGTACAACAATGAGCTTGACATAACGTTACTCAAGGCTGCTCGGGGATTGATTGTAAGTTTCAATCATGGGCTTTTGCCTTTAATCTTTCCGAGGAGCATTATGAAATCAGCCGTAACTTGGAATTTACGCTCATATTAGAATAGGTGATGCACTCAATGTTCTCCGGTGAAGAGTGCTTTTTAGCCTCCCATGAGTGGCATGATAAGATGCGACAGCAATACACATCCGACTTGCCCCCAGAAGTGCACAACAGCATCGAAGTATTTATTACATATTTCACATATGCTCCGAGTCTTGTGCATAAGCTCTATAGTTTGAAGCATGTCGACGCCACAAGTGCCGAAGCTCTCCAAACAGTCTCAGAGGTCACACCCAAAGCCCTCGAAATGCAGATGAAACTGGCTATATGGCATGGGCAATTTTCTCAAATTGTACCACCGCCAATTGAAACTATGTCCTCAATTGGGGATGAACTCTATCCGATTATCCTCACATATACAGACGTGAGCTATGCGACGATCTACTGCAGTTACTATTCTTACATGGTAATCATTCATGAAATTTTGAAAACTTGTGGCTATCCCGGTGAGCATGAAGCCATGGTTGCCTATTTCAGAGACCAAATTTGCAAGTCAGTCGAATACAACAGTGTGGGAGTGATGGGTCCATACCGAATGGGTTTTCCTCTCCGCGTGGCATTCGAAGTTGCAGATCCAGTGACAAGCTCTTGGATTCTGAACCGGCTTGGACAATTTTCAAAGATCTACGCAGCCGCCCAACCAGCAAACTATCGTACTGTCCTATGATCCAAATCCAATTTCATTGAAAGATTATGAGCCAAGGCCAAATCCCCAAGCTATTCTCCAAGCAGTATCTCGCTGCGCCGTTTCATCGCCGATCTCAGAAATATCCAAAGTGAACTAGCTCAATTCTGCGTCGATTCCAGGTCATCAGATACAATGCGCCCAGAAATGATTGACGAACAAACTGGTTCTGCTACAGCACGTGCTGCAAAAAGCAAGATGACAATTATGATCTCCATCAGAAGCCCCATTCCAACCATTTTGTCAATATCACCAGTGGCTGGGTGGTATTCGCGGGGTCCATACTCCAACTTTAGGAAATATATGATCCGAACCAACAAAAAGGGAAGAGCCAACACTGTCAAAAGTACAGCGTGGTGACCTGACCCAGGAAGAATCGACCGCGATTTTACCGCAAGCCACCCAACAAGACCGCACACATAGACGAATGTAACAACAAGAACAATGGATCCAGCTTCTCCCAATGCGCGCATGTTGATACATCCGCCCACCATTGCTAGCATGATGGCGATGAAGATCGGGAAACGGAAGAAATGCAGAGCAAACCGGGTGCGCTTGGTCCATTTCGAATTTCCAGGGCCAGTTTCTCCGAATTGTCCACTATTCGGAGAAACAACGTCAGCATTTTTTTCTTTAGAACAAAAAGCCCCCAAGTCTCCCAGGGCCTAGGGAATATTCAACATACCATCGAAGTAAGACCAAGCTGACTTCAAACAAGAGGGGTGAAAGGCCCACGCTTTGCAAAACGGATTCGGTAATGAGCATTGGTTTTCCCGGATGTGAGTTGGCAAGCACCATGGCGGAGCCCGCTATGCGAACTGTGAAGCATTTCAATAGCCGCATCTTTGAAATTGACGGAATGTCGTCCACCTACTCTGTGACAGAAGACCGATCATACTCCACCAAGAATAGAACACACATCGTCCAATACCCTTGTTCTTGTTGTGATGCCAGTATCGCCACTCCTGCATGTATCTTGTGCTACACTGCACAAGTTGTATGAGGGAGTATATGACAATCTCTGCGATGGCAACATTCCGCTTCCTAGTTGAGATGGGCGAATCTAACGAACGGGACAAAAGATTGAATGCCATAGTGAGATCTGGATCTGAAGAAAGAGTTGTGAGCTTTGGGTGATAGTGAATTACGCAGTGGAATGCTGTGAAGAAAAGTTCAGTGCAATTGGACTGCTTTAAATATCTACTCTGAGGGGTTTGATCTCGAAGACTTTGTATACTCCATGCTGGTGGATCTACATCGCGGTAAGTGACCTATTTGGGTTTAGCGTTCGTAGCATTAAGCATCCTCAAAAAGACTTGAATGGCTACAAAGATTGAGCGGCTCAATGAAAATGGAGATTTCAAATTTTGGCTAAGCCACGAAAGCAGGCACCAGGGAACTGCGAAAATGCTGTCCATACATTTCTACTTCGCGAGAACTGACCCATTTGGGTAGTCCGAGCATGTATACATACCCGTGCATTATTTGGGATAGGCTCCCCACTCGCTGCGCTGTCTTCCCTTTTAATAGATAGTCATGCAGGCACACATGGCTTTTGAATCTTCTTTCATCATATTATGTATTCCATAGAATACGGGCTAGAAGGGTAAGTCTACAACAACTTACTCCGTATAGTGGGTCTGACACTTCTCCGGACCCCGGAGTTAGTACCGGACGAATAATAATCCGATGCCGTATACAAAACGGAAAGCTCCGATGACGGCGAATATCGGTTTTAGGAAAGTAACTCTGCAAAAAAGTCTACCAAAATGGCTGCTGCCCGGACACTTCGCATTGGTACAATTGCCCTTGTTTTGCGATCTCGTGGCATTGACTGACATGGCCGGAATCTTATAGGTCTCATCCCCGGAGATGGTATTGGTCGGGAGGTCATCCCGGTGAGTAACACTCTCTAATATATGAGTCAATTCACTGACTGAATGTTTTTTGACGAAATATAGGCCGGCCGTCGGATTCTTGAGTCTCTCCCCGCGTCCCTGAACCTCAAGTTCAGCTTCGTCGACCTTGAGGCCGGTTACGATACCTTCCAGAAGACTGGAACTGCTCTCCCCGACAAGACCGTCGATATCCTCAAGAAGGAGTGTGACGGTGCGCTCTTTGGCGCTGTCAGGTAAGCCACGATCTCTTTGTTTCAGCATGCGCAATTCCGGCTGACAATTGCTCCCAACTCGAAGCTCCCCTAGCACCAAGGTCGCCGGCTACTCCTCACCCATTGTCGCTCTCCGCAAGAAGCTCGACCTGTACGCCAACGTCCGCCCTGTCAAGACCACCGCCGGTAACAGCAATGGCAAGCCCATTGACCTGGTTATCGTCCGCGAGAACACCGAGGACCTGTACGTGAAGGAGGAGCGCACCATCGACACCCCTAACGGCAAGGTCGCCGAGGCCATCAAGCGTATCTCCGAGCATGCCTCGTTCCGTATCTCCAAGATCGCCGGTGAGATCGCGCTCAGCCGCCAGAACATCCGCGACTCTGCTCCCGGCACCTCTACCCGTAACCAGCCCATGGTTACCATCACCCACAAGTCAAACGTGCTCTCGCAGACCGACGGTCTCTTCCGTGAGACCGCCCGCCGCGCTCTTGCCGCCGAGAAGTTCTCCTCCGTCTTTGTCGAGGAGCAGATTGTCGACTCCATGGTCTACAAGCTCTTCCGCCAGCCCGAGTTCTACGATGTCATTGTCGCCCCTAACCTCTACGGTGACATCCTCTCTGACGGTGCTGCTGCCCTTGTTGGCAGCTTGGGTCTCGTCCCCAGTGCCAACGTTGGTGATAACTTCGCTATCGGTGAGCCTTGCCACGGCAGTGCTCCTGACATTGAGGGCCAGGGTATCTCCAACCCCATTGCTACTATCCGCAGTGTTGCTCTGATGCTCGAGTTCCTGGGCGAGATGAACGCTGCTGCCAAGATCTACGCTGCTGTCGATGGTAACCTCGATGCTGCTCAGTTCCTTACCCCCGATATGGGTGGAAAGGCTACCACTCAACAGGTGTTGGAGGATGTCCTGAAGAGACTGTAAAAGTAAACTTGTATATATAAGTCAAAGTTTGCAAATGATACTTAAGAGATGAATTTACTGTTTTTGAATTGACAACCATTTAACTGTAAAAAGCTACGACCCTTGATAATTGTAAAAGCCGTGTCTAAATTTGTTCAGGGATATCTTAGAACAACAAGATACTCCCTTGAGCCGAGAAATGTATCACTCAACATCGCCAGATGACGGTTCCGCCTCCCAGTCAAACTTCCCTAGACTGTCATCACGTTGCTCAGTTTTGCTATGATCTTCCTTGTCTTCCGGATCGTGTAGGACCACCGAGAACACTATAGCAAGATACACTCGTCCAGTTGAAACATCCTTGAGCGTATACCGCAGCTCATGGTTCTTCTCATCGATGTACTTCATGATAGGTAGAGTGAACCCAGGAAGACGGACCGAGAAATCTATTATGATCAGTGAATCCAAGATGCTAATTAAAGAGCAAATCTGCCTTTCACTAACCATTGAATGCCAAATAAGGATTTCCAAAATCAGCAACATACATCCTCCCAGGCTCAAAGTCGAACTCCTTCCTATTCGCCTCATACTGGAAATGCTTTCTGCGTCCCTCAACTGTATCGGGGATATTAAATTGCTGACGCACATTGGCAGCATCTTCGCTATAAGAACCTTCTTCAATAATCTCATCATGGAGCTCTGGCACGTCGTCTGTTTTCCGCATCTTATCTCCAATGCGGAACTGGTCCCATGATGCCAATGCCGGGCTGTACAGGTATGGCTCGTCAGAGTAGACATCGCCATCTAGACTTGGGTCAAGCGTCCACTTGACTATCCGTAGTGCTGCGTTGAATCCTGGAGGTAGGAAGTCGCGGATTGGGTGATCAAAATCATTGCCAAAGAACAGATTGTTGCCGTTCACTGGCTCTTTGAAGATTATTGAGAAACATATGGAATATAGGTCTTTTTGATGTAGAGAATGGTCGAAATATGGGCTTGTAGATGGTGAATTTTCGGGATAGCCTATTTGACAGATGAGCTCCGTTCTTTGGGTGGATGAGAGCAAGGGTATTACCGGTGTAATCTTTGATGCGTACGCAGAGGCTCACAATAGCGTGTTCGTTCTCAATTCGGACTGTCTTGCCATTTACAGGTACCACTTGATGATGAGTTTTGGGGTCGTAGTCTGTCCCTGCCGTTACCTTCAAGCGGTACGGGTTTGTGGTGTCTTGGGTAACCATGCTTGAAGTGGATTCTAGAGTGATTTAATGAGACTTCATGCAAAGTAATGATAAGGTTTAACAAGTTGTTGCTCGAAAATCATTTGAAGTGTGGTAAAGAAATATAATTTTATAGGCTTGACGCCCAACAACGTCATCGTTGTTGACCTCGGGATGACAATCAAGTATTGATAAGAGTGAAATTCAATGCCGCGTTCTCACCACAAGGATACTTACTCAAATAACAATAAATTACCTCTTTGGCAACTAAAAGCTCTGGATAATGTATGCCAGCATTAACCTGAGGTCAGTGTCGTGAGGTACTATATAGCTGTCCCAAGGGTTTTGAGTGCGTTTGTGTTGATATAAGCAATATATCAATCATTAAACCTCTACAAATGAGGAATGTTAAAACAGTTAACTAGTGCTATGATTGAAAAGGATTTCTATTTGTTGATCTGTCTCCTCGTACTCTGTAGTTAATATATGCAAAGACTCAGCCCTGTTCAGCCCCAAAATCCAATTTGGAAATGATGTCATGGATGGTCTCAAACTCAAAAGATGATTGGCCGGAGCGGTCCATGAAACCCAAAGAGGTTAGTGCGCTGAGGTATAAATGGGTGGAGACGCCAAGATTTGCGCCTTGTGAAAGTGAGATCTCTCCTTTTCTTCTACAGCTATAGAGGTATATAAGTAGACTAAATTCCCTTTCCAAATGATAAGTTGATCAGATTAAAGACAAGATTAATACATGACCCAACCCTCAACTGCTCCTAAGCAAATACAATGGCTTCAACCGATGTCCCTCTTCAACCCGTCCAACGTTCTACTTCCAAGGATCAGTCTTTGACTGTCCGCTCAAACCAAATGGCTTCACCCGACACTCCCCAATACAGCCAGATCCCATCCAAAAACCCTGCCTTTGCAGTCAACTTCACATGGAAGAAATGGAGGGCCATGGTTTCTGACGCCAGCAATCCCGGATCAGAACCCTTATACACTATCCACTTCCCAATCAGTTTAGAAACCCACATCATTTTCAAAAAGTCTTCCGACGGAGAAGTCATCGGGAATGGAAAGCTGAACTTTGTGTCTATCAATGCCGAGTACGAACTGCATGGGCAGAAGGCCCGCCTTCTAGCCCAGAAACGCTGGCGGACGGTATACACCCACCGCTCCCTCAACTTCTCAGACACCGGATCCCCAGTCACAATGACATGGACTAGCGATGCCGGGTTCAAGAATTGGGACTTTGTCTGTGTCGATGAGCAACAAATGCCCGTGGCAAAATTCACTGCCAATTGCTGGGGTCTCACCAACATTGGTAAAATCGAGTTCAGTGGCTCCAAGGCAAATGACAGAGCTGCGCAAGAGGAGATTATTGTTACAGGGATTACGTTGTTCTACTGCATGGTGCTTCGCTGTAACAATCTTTTCAATCTCTTTGGGGCTATTTTTGCTCGACCGGGGCAAAAACAACATATTAATTAAGCCTCAGGCTAGAGTCATGACTAGCGAGCAGGGTTCGCAATTTGCCTGATTTACTCTGTTGCTTGGGAGTTTACGTTTTGTTTTGCGGGCAGCGAGATATACCATTTGATTCATGTTTATAATACATAGTCGTTGAAAATATTACTCCATAATACTGTTTAAACCGTACACAAGTTTTGTTCCTCTCTCTGCTTCTAGATACATGCCAACATTGAAACAAGATATTTACAGAAGCAGCTATCATGGAAAGGGAACATCCCGACCAAGCGAGCGGGCAACCCAATAGCCTACCGCCTCCCGAACAATATTGTTACTCGCCCAGTTCCGACTCGGATATACACGGTGGGCCAGCATAACCATAAACGTATCTGATGCCCGATCAACAACAAGCGTGGTACCAGTAAAGCCCGTGTGACCTCCAGCCAGCATATTGGCCATGGGCCCGGAGAAATAGTTCTGGTTGAGCTCAAACCCGATACTGTGCTCATTACCAGGGAATGCAGTATTGAAATTCGTGAACATCAGGTCCACAGTTTCTGGCTGTAGTATCTGCTTTCCGCCATATGTGCCGTTGTTCAGGATCATTTGGCAGAAGATAGCCACATCCCCGGCAGTCGAAAAGAGACCGGCATGTCCGCTCACACCACCCAGAGCCCATGCATTCTCGTCGTGCACGGTTCCCCGTACTGGCTGCGGACGTTTAGGCTCAGCCCCTCCTAGGACTTCGGTCTGGTATTCTGTCGGCGCCATGCGCGCGTAGTAATGGAAGTTAGGGGACTGGTTGTTTCCCTTGTTGAAAAAGGTATTGGTCATGTCGAGGTCACGGGTAAACCCATGGACATACTCCTCAAATGGCGTCTTGGTGACCTTCTCCAGCAAGAAGCGAAGGTTCATGAAGTTCAGATCTGAGTATGTGTATGTAGACCCAGGAGCATTTTCGAGCTTATGCTCGATGATAGCACGGACGCGCTGCTCCATGTTCTCGTAAGGTGGTTCATACAGTCCGGGCAGAGGGTCTGGAGCGAAGCCGCTTGTATGGGTCAGCAGCATTAGAACAGTGATGTTGCTCTTCCCGTTGGTTGCGAACTCTGGAAGATAGGATGCAACGGTCTTGTCCAAGCTTAGCTTGCCCTCGTCAATGGCGCGCAATGCGGCTACCGCAGTGAACACTTTGGTTAGACTGGCCATATCGTAGATTGTGTCCATTTTGGTCTTGGTCTGTTCTGTGGGTGGAAGCAATGTGCCATTGGAGTCTGAATACAGATTTGTATTCCCGAAAGCGAAAGAGCTCACAATGGTGGCCTTGTGACCGATGACAACAGAACCTCCCGGCTGGATGGGGTGAACTTCATTGTGCGAGGGTGCTCCGTAATTGGCCGGAATGGTGTATTGCGTCACGTTCAGTGGCAGCTGGTCAAGAGGCTCGGCGAGAAGCCCTACTGATTTAGGAGAACCATGCTTGAGGGTGCGATCTGTGGCACTACAAAGCGAGCCGCAGCTTGCAATGAGGCAAATGGCTGAATATTTGAGTCTCATCGTGGAGTGATAATGGTACAGGGAGGCATGGGAATTTTCAGTGTCAGCCTGCGAATATATGTGAGCTCGCGCCCTGTTATCTTGAGATTGTTTGTAGATTAAATGCAACTCAGCATAGTAACCGTTTCATTATTTTTGGATAAGATCATCCCTGAAGATGGGGTAATGCTCCACATATAACCCGTTTAACAATCGTTCGGAGTACTCCGTACCTTTCTCCGAGTCGTCTCCGACGGAGAATAGATACCCCCGCAAAGTCGAAAGATCTATCTGAAGATGGTAATGTGAAAAAATATAATTTGAAAGATACTGTGAGGATCTCAGAGCCAAGACAAAGTATATCAGGCCAAGACAGAGCTGAAGAAAATACAAAATAAACAGATCATTGTATACAAGCTAAGCCGGATCCGATGCGGGAAGATGGATATTAATATGGGATCCGATACCGCTGCCGACATCCGAAATGTCATTCTCCAGTTCTTCGATATTTATACGCCGACGGTCCTTGCCACGGCCGACTTCGAAATCAACAAATCGGGCGCTAACGGGAGTAATTGGCTCACTCGCACTGCCGACTGTAGTGCCATCTGACATGAGATCGTCTGATTTCAATTCCCAATTGGCCGCACGAACTTTGGCTCTGCGACGTTCTGAGTTGATAGTCTCCTTCATGTGGGCGAATGATCGCACTTGATCTGCGGCCCACTTGTCCAGGAGCTCATTCCGGGCTTCGACTTCTATCTGCAGCTGTTCTTCAAGGCCAGTATTGAGATCATGAAGACGCCGCATTTCACATTTAGCACCATGCAATGACGTGGTGAGGTCTGAGATGCGGACGTTAAGAGTCCCAGTCTCTGCTTCGTGCGTTTGAAGTTCACTGGTGTTTTTCTCGAGGGTCTCAACGGCCCTTTGGTATTCCTTCTCAAAAGATTCCACTTGAGCCATCAAGTCGCAAGCTCGAATTCGATTCTGCTCGACTGTTTCCTCTAATTCTCGGATACGAGACTCAGATTCAGAAGCAGTAGCCTCGGCTGAACAGCGTTTTGAGCGTTCATAGTCCACTTCTTTCTTGAGCTTAGATATCTGCCGAGTGTAGTCCTCCTTTGTAGCCGTGTTCTCCTTTTCAAGGTTGTCGATAAGACCTTCGAGGCCTTTCACTTCATCATGATATTTATCGAGGGCTGTATTTAATCTGTCAATCCCAACGGCCTGTTCTTGGCCTTGGCGCTCGAGGTCTTGCATCCGCATCCGCGTGTGGAGCATATCGCCCGCAGAAGATGCGATTGTATCCTCGAGAGTGTCAATCCTTTTTGCAGCTGCCTCATATCGGTTTAGCAAAGCATCGAATTGCCCTCGGAGAGCCTTTTCTCGGCCAAGAGAGCCGTGATGGTAATGGCGCTCAGTCCCCAGATCTTGCGCGAGTGACTTGACCCGCCTCACCAGTGCACCTAAGGTCGCCTTGCCATCCTCAAGACTAACATTGGCAGTTTCACCAGGTAACACACGCTCAAGCTCAAGACGAGCTGAGCGGAAGTGGATCCGCATATCGGATATCACATCGTCCACACCGTCCCCGGAGAATCCTAAGCTGGAGCATTCTTGGGTGACTCCTTCAAGAGTCTCGGCAGCATCTGAAGCACGAGACAGAGCATTTTCTAAGACCTCTACGATGTTCTCGAAGAAGTCCGATGGCGGAGATGACTGGCGTAAAAGGCTACTGATCATAGGGTCATTGAACCCTGAGATTCGTGACCGACAGGCATTGAACAGGTTGTTCTTTTCTTGTCTGGCAGCTTCCAGATCAAGGGTCAGTGAGTGAATGTCAGATGCCTTTGTGTTGACAGAAGTTTGCGTTTGGGTGGCCCGAATGGGTGTCTGGGGATCGTCTGATAGCATCAAGCTATTAGTGACGGGTGGATTATGACTTCGACCACGGAAATCAGGGGAGCTGGACACAATGACAGCACTGTCGTTGAACATAAATGTCTCCCCGTCACCGTTCGAAAATGGAGCGGCGTCATCCCGACTGTAATTAGAAGCCACTGATCTAGGTGTGTCGGGTGTCATCCAATAAGACTCAGCCAACGAAGCTTGGTCCCCAAAGCCCCTTCCACCTTGTTTTATGGCCTTGAGCTCATCCTTCAGGGCATCTCGCTCTTGAAGCAAAGCTCGCATGGTCTTTTCCATATTGCGCGTCTCGCGCTTTTCGCGCTCAATGTGGTTGATTTCATCACTCAACCCAATTCGCCTAATTCTCCTCTGGGTTCGTGTATCCAAAATTTGGCGTAGCGGAGTAAATTGGATCTTTCGTGCGGTGCATGTTTCATCAAACAGTTCCTCTGTGTCATATGACCGTTGCAAGCGTGGTGTTGGGGCAGACCTGCGTCGGGCTTTGCGGCTAGGTGTCTGATCCCCAGATCCTGTTTCGAACGATGTTCGACCCATTGCTGGGGTTAAGCCGGTCGACTTGGCATCTGAATCATCTAATAACCGAGGACCTGGGTCGGAAAATCGAACTCTCTTTCTTGATTTCTTGGGTGTAACAGATATTGTCTTTTGCTGCTGGTTGAGGCTGACATCTTCTGGAACTGCTGCTAAGCTCTGCCTAGTCCGGCGTGAGACTGGTGACTGGCTTATTGAATTTGAAAGAGAGCTCTTTCGTTTCCTTCCTGACCGAACGATGTCCATGCTAGAAAGGGGTATATATTGGAATAATTAAAGTCAAAACAAAGAAACGTTTGACAAAATAAAAAGGGATAGGCGTAATAAAAGGATTCTATAAAACATAGATCACAGGTAAAGACGTAAACAAACAAAGTGGGGCTATATAGGCAGCAGGCGCCCAGACGCGTGCCTGTCTACTCCGTAGGTGGTATCATATTGCCAGAATAGGAAATGGTAAACAAGATGCTTCTTTGGGCGATCAGGTGATATATAATCCACGTGATATTTATATGTCTATTACACGTGACATCTTCTATTGTGTCTATACTCATTAAGGTATATCGAAAATGATAGGCATGGATCTAATCTAGTAATTTCTTCATAAGATAATATCTAGCTTCTTGGAAGAGATGGCATTGTATTATGTATGGTCCTCAAGTATAGATCAAACTTGGAAAGCTACTCCGCATTTCCACCACGGTACTTTATCGATAGCTTCCAAGTTTCGCTTCAAATACGAAACTGGGAAGTTGTGCAGCTTTATCTAATCCAGACCCTGCAATATTGGCAATATTAGGCACACTGCGCCTCTTCCCTGCTTGGCCCACCCTTCTTCTCTCTGTGTGACTCTCATGTGTATCTTCCCCTCCTATGTCTCCCAGTGATGTCATTTACGATACTCTGAAGAGGCTCAACCATATCACTTGTCTCTTGCACATCTCGGTGCAACAGAGGAAAAGATGGCGATTACTACCCTTCCTAGTCGGGTATGATTCTATCATTGCTCTTGATAAACATTACTGTACACGACCCTGTGCTCACATTTTGATCTTGCAGCAACAAAGCAATAATGGCCCCTACAACCAACCAGTTAATGATGGACAGTTGCTCCCACCCACAGACCAATTGTCATTCCTTGACAAATTACCCGCTGAGATTATCCAAGATATTGCGTCTTATCTCTCAGCTCCAGATCTCGCGTGCCTCGGTGCTACTTGCCGGGCGCTCTTCGACCACGCATCGAATGATTTTCTATGGGCTAAACTGGTGAACGAGAGACTGCCTGCTCCTATTCGGGACCCAGATCCCTTTGGATCATTTCGTCGTCTTTATCTTGCATATCACCCCTGTTGGTTCATTCCTCAGCACAAGATTTGGTTCGCAGACAATGAACCCACGGGGTTGCTGGTCATAGCTCGATATGATGATCGCCGGGGTATGATTCAAGCATACATTGTTGTTGCACGACGTTGCTCTGCCGGATTCCAAACCTGGGCATCAAACCCAGAAGTTATCATCCAGACTTTTGAACCCGATGTTTATCGAGCGCAAAATCCTATTTTGTCTCTCAGAGACCCCAATCCGTCCTCCCCAACAGCCCCACTTCAGTCCCTTCGCTCTATGCCAGAGGAACGACGTATTCCCACGCCTTCAGATGCCCGACATGTCTTCACCTCGTTGTCGTTTTGCTCTGCATTTAGCCCCCAAGGACCTTGTTTCAACCCCAATGTGATTTGGCCACCAGGTACCATCCCGAGCAAGACACGCACTGTTCGCGATTTGAAGGACTTACACCCGCCAATCGTGAAACATTTCTCGGAATTATCAGAATCATTCTTCCGTATCAGAAGATGGGGAAACCCGTGGGTAAAGCCAGAGTCGCCACCGTTGCCGATGCCAAAGAAAACGAGCCTAACTTTCTCAACTCTTGATCCTATCCTTTACACACCCACCGCAGAGAAACCGTACCAGGGAATTTGGGTTGGAGACTACGAAGCCCATGGTTGTGAATTTATGCTTGTCCTCCAGGGAGAAAAAACGGACCTAGCACCAGATGATGAACAAGAGGGGAATGTAATTGACGCCCAGGACGAGCTCGAACATGACAGCCAGGAGAATATTGGACAGCAAGGTCCGTTGCAAGCTGTCAAGCTAACAGGTGACTCCAATGTTCCTCGTGGTCAGCTCTCGTTTTTTGCCGAAGACATTGGCTCTAGGGGCTTGATTAATGTCGCAATGGATGAGCCATTTGTGGGGGCCCGAATTGTGCGTTGTCGCGGCCATGTAGCTGGCCTTGGGTTCCTTGACGGTAAGCAGCCTTACTACTCCGTAAACTAAAGTGATCTCCAGTTCTAACATGTAACTTGCCAGACACTTACATTGACTCCCAACTGATCCTTATTTCTCCTGACCAGATGGCTCTTTACTGGAAGGCAATAGGCCACATCTCCTATTACCACCGTGTGGACATTGACGCATTACTACATAGTTAATTGGCGAGTCTTTGTGGTTTCTTTTTTTCTTTCTTTTTTTTTTCTGTTACATACCCCAATCAATTGAAGTTTTGATGTTATATTGAGTAAAAGGACGAATTTCCTTTTTGGGTTAATTTTGTCTTTTTGGGCTTGGTGCCCCAGTATATACCGAGTAGTACGACAGTACGCTGTGGAATCTCCCTCTCATTATTTTTTCTTCTGTTCTTCCATCTTCTCATCAGCCCA